CTTCAGCTGGTTTCGCCAGCTGGTTTCAGCTGGTTGCCCGCCGCTGCTGCTTTTTTGCATGATGGCATGTGCTCGGTAGCCTTAGCCCATTCCATTCGATGATCGCATGTGCTCGCCATGGTGCTTGCGGTGTCTAGTGTATTCTGGGGAGAGGGGGGGGGGGGGGGGTGCAGTCCCTCCACACGCACCTCTCAGAGGGTGTTTGTATTTGATTGTTCTTACATGGACTTCACACATCACACGATCAGTCTCTGCACACTGCGGACGGCGCGGCGCGGGCGGCGGGCGTGGGTGGAGAGGTACGCTCTACCTGGCAGCACATCCGCAAAGGAGCAAGGTGGGGACGCTGCAACCTTCCTCCAGGCCCTTCACCCCACTTTCTTCGTCTTGAGAAGCCGTACGGGAAAAGAAGAAAAATCGTGAGAGCTATCTCACATTACACTACACCATGCACTGTACAATACGGCCGTACGAAGTGGCACCACTCTCCAGCGTACACAGACGCAAGCTCCGCGTCCGCTCTCGCCCCGGTCCGCTACACGTGTTCGCCCCCGTGTCCCGAAGCGGAGGCGAGCTCGTCCATGTCGTCGGCCGAGAGAAGCTCCAGGTTCTCCGGCTTTAACCGAATCAACTCCACCTCATTTGCCCCGTCAGGCTTGACCACATAGGTCCCCCGTTCCGCTAAATGTCGAAACTCGTCGTTTGTCACGGTCGCGACGATCCCATTCAGCTCGGGCTTGGTGGTGAGGCCGGAGATGCGCACCCGCTGGCCAGGCTGGTACCGCGGGGGCTGCGGCGGCAGTGCCGGTGGCGTCGCCGCCCCGCGCGGCTGCTGCGATGAGTTATCTTTGCCGTCAAACGCGTCGCTCTCGTCGCTGTCTGTACCGCTGTTGTTGACGACGGCCGGGAGAGATTCGCTGCCCGAAGAATCATCCGGCTCCAGGTTCTCCGGCCTTATCCCCACCGTCGGTCCCCCCCCGTCAGGTTTGACGTGGTAGCGCCCCTTGCTCTCGTCAAACCCGTTTGTCACGGTCGCGACGATCCCATTCAGCTCGGGCTTGGTGGTAAGGCCGGAGATGCGCACCCGCTGGCCAGGCTGGTACCGCGGGGGCTGCGGCGGCGGCGGCGTCGCCGCCCCGCGCGGCTGCTGCGATGAGTTATCTTTGCCGTCAAACGCATCGCTCTCGTCGCTGTCGGAAGAGCCACTGTTATCGACGATGGCCGGGAGGGATTCGTCGCCAGACGAATCTTCCGACGAATCCGGCAGCTCCGAAGCGGAGGCGAGCAGCGAGCCCGCCAACTCCGTCTCCTCCGCCGCAAGCGCCGCCTCATCCTCGGGCTCCCGCGACGGCCCAGCGCCGCCCGCAGCCCACGCCGCCTCCCTCGCCGTTGCCTCCGCAGCCTGCACCTCCGCGATGTGCTGCCGGAAGGCCTCGACGCACGCGGCGCCGGCGTGGCCGGCCACGCCGGCGCCGCGTGCCACCTCCTTGGCATACTGCAGCGCGGATTTGCCGTCGTCAGCACGCAGCTTTGTATCCGCGCCCGCCCGCAGCAGGCGGAGCACGATGGCGGGATGGCCATAGATGGCTGGGTACATCAGCGCGGTGTAGCCTTTGCTAGCCTGCAGGTTGATCTCCGCGCTGTGCCGCAACAGCACCTCGACCACCCGCTCGTGGCCGTTACGGGCGGCGAGCATCAGTGCGGTGACGTCGTCGTTGGCCTGCGCGTTGATCTCCGCGCCATGCTGCTGTAGCAACTCGACCACCCGCTCGTGTCCGTTGGAGGCCGCCCACATCAGCGCGGTGCCGCCATCGCTGGCCTGCAGGTCGACTTCCGCGCCGCCCCGCAGCAAGATATCTACCACCCGAACCCAACCGCGTCCAGCGGCGGCCATAAGCGCGGTGACGCCTTCACCACTCTGCTCGTTGATCTCGGCGCCGCGCTGAAGCAGCAGATCGACCACCTGCTCGTGGCCGTGGCCAGCGGCGACCATCAGCATTTCCCCCGCATTCGCCTGCCCGCCGCTGTTCAGCCACTCCAGCAGCACGTCCACCTTGCCGGATTTCGCCGCCCTCATGATGCTTGCTGGCGCGACACTCTTAGACATGTTGCTATGCGACCCTCTTGGCGTCTGGGTCGGGGGCGGCAGGTGGCGCGCATACGTCGCGCGCGTTGTCGTGGCCTTGTTGTTCGGGCACTTGGCGTGGTGAAGACCTTTGTGAGGAGCCAAACACCCGGGAAGGCAGCCATTGGGTCGTGGTGGCTCCTTCACCTCCGCCGTCACCAATGCATCCTCGATGACTCGCCGCTCGTGCGGCGTATCCAGCCGACCTCCGCCCGCTGAAGAGGCGACAAAGAGGACACGTGCCTCAGCCTGCTTCGCCTTCTCCGCCTCCTTCGCCGCCTCCGCCTCCGCCCTCTCAACCTCACGCCATAATTGCAGCTCTTCCATCGCGTCCTTCACCCAAGACTCGCCGCGAGAGGCGTGGCAAATGACATTATGGTGCTGCAGCTGCGCGACGTACGCCGCCCGCCGCGCACAATCCCTCAGGACGCCTTTGCTCCCCGCCGCCTCGGTGAGCCGGTTCAAGGCCGCGCGGGCGCCGAGCCTCCGCGAGCAGGCGACGGCTTCCTCGAGTGCAGCTCGTGCCACCTCCGCTGCCGCCGAAGCTCGCTTTAGTTCTGCACCTGGATCCAGTGCCGCGCCTTCCTGGAGCGCAGCTCGTGCCGCCTCCGCTGCTGCCAGCGGCAGCTTTGCACCTTGATCCGGTGCAGCGCGCTCTGCGCGAGCACCCGACGGGGCGGCGGGCTCTGCGGCAGGCGAGGCCTCAGCTGCAAGGGAGGTGTCATCACTCGTTTGCAGGGGAGCCAAGCCACCGCTATCCGCCGTCGATGGCTGTTCTGTTGCCGGCGCCATCGTCGGTGCCTGCCGGTCCGGATGCAGCTCCCTCATTGCAGAGTGATACGCCTTGACGATCTCTCGCTGAGGCGGAGCAGACGCGCAGGGCGAGACGAGGGAGGGAGCAGGACTTTGCGGAGATCAGCAGGAGGATGTACGAAGAGATTAGGAGCAGCAGGGACCCGAGGGACCATGTGGAAGACGGCTAGTGCTAGTCCCCCATCGGGAGGACGACCCCGGCTAGTCGCCGACCACACCCACAAAGAACCCTGCAGCTGCACAAAGATCGCAAGTTGGAACGCAAGGGCGGGGGCCTGTTCCTTTTTACCCAAGCCATCTCACAGTAGAGAGGTGTCCGTTTTTATTTATTTATTTACGCTGCGGTCACACACCTATCACTCACGATGCGCGTCGGGGGCTGCGGCCCCTCCTTGTCGGAGGCGGCTGACTCGGTGCTGTTTCCGTGGGCCCTGCCAGGTGCAACGCCCGCCTCATCCACGCCGTCGCGGCCTCCCACTCGACAGGCGCAAAGACGTCCGGGTCCTCGTTGTGCGCGTCGTACGGCCTGCCGCCCAGCCGAATGACCTCAGTGCCGTCGAGGTGGCCGCGTTGCTCGAGCACGGTGTGCAGCGCGGCGGCGTGGCCGATGACGCGGTCGTTGGGGTGGTACACGAGCATCTTGCCGCCGCGCAGCCGCCGCCAGTGCTCCGCGCTCTCGAGGGGCGCGCGCCACGGCACGCGCGAGAAGGCGAGGCGCAGCACGAAGCGCACGGCGGCGCGGCCGAGCGCGGAGCGGTGCAGCCCGACCGTGCACGCGGAGACCAGAGACAGCGAGGCGAAGGAGCGCTCGTTGACGCACGGCAGCCACGGGTAGTGCCGACCCGCGAGCTGCGCCGCGACGCCGCCGCCCATCGACTGGCCCATCAGAAGGATCGACGTCGTCGGGTCGCCGCCCGCCTCGGCCACGCGCGCCTCGCAGAAGCGCACGGCCTCGGCCGCGTCGTCCACCGCGTCGTCCGCCGAGAGGAGCAGGCCGGCGGAGCGGCCCACCCCGCGG